GTCTTTTCCAGGGAGTCTTCTCTTCTCATCAGATGGCCAAAGTATTGGAGCCTCAGCTTCAGGATCTGTCCTTCCAGTCAGCACTCAGGGTTGATTTCATTTAGAATGGATAGGTTTGTTGTCCTTGCAGTCCAGGGGACTCTCAAGAGCCTCCTCCAGCACCACAATTCAAAAGCATCAATCCTTCGGCGGTCAGCCTTCTTTATGGTCCAGCTCTCACTTCCATACGTCACTACTGGAAAAAAAAGCCATAGCTTTGACTATGTGGACCTTTGTCGGCAAGGTGGTGTCTCTGCTTTTTAAGATGCTGTCTAGGTCTACTTACTAACTAATGACACTTCTGATTCTCCTAAAAGATATTTAGAATTTTGCTTCTCTTAATGGCATGGTGCCTTTTTTTATATATTTCCAAAACAATTATCTCCATGAATGCCAGATTTAACATAAGATCTCTGTGAGGGTGGGTGGAACTGTGCTGCTTCACCCCATGAGTGCCCCTGGCCTCTGTGTTTTTTCCACCTCATGATTGCCTCACAATTACACAAAAATTCCTCTCTCTATTTACATGCTAGTTCAAATCCCTATAAATAATCCACAAAATTTAATAGCCAACAGTGCTATTTGCTAGTTTGCCTAAACCTGACTAAAAATGTGACTAAAGATCCCTATTATTCTAGCCTGGATTGGTCTAGATTGTGCTAAACAGAGTTGCTTTGAGGTGCAATATCTCATTTGGGATTATCCATCCATTCACATGCAAGAATCAATTACACCACTCCTGAAGCACCCATTTTTCTTCCCTCTTGCTGTACATGAGTCATTTAACAATCTGGAGAAGTAGAAAACATCCTTCCTACTTGCCTATGGAGGAAAAGGGAGAGGAGGTTTACTATTTCTCTTTAGTTGTTGCTAATGCTTCAGCGATGCTTTGAAACTACAATATGGGACAAATAGCTATCTAGTCACAATATTAACCTGAAGGAAAAAGGAGTGCTAGAAGTACTTTGTGAAAATATTTTCTCTCAGATAGCCTGGGAAGGATTTTCACTGCAACCAGCCAAGGGGCACCTTTCATGTGTACGTGGGGCCTTACCACAAATTATGCTTCACAAAAAGAAATAAAGAAAAATTCAAAGTTGTCTTGCCTTCAGATCCATGGATTAGTAAGTCAATTTTAAAATAGGTATTCTATTTCTTTCTGTATTTTGTTAGCAACTTGCAAAAGTAACATATTGCCAACAAGGGCTGCAATCCTTGGGACATGTTTTGGAAGGAAACCCCAATGAATTCTGTGGGACTTAACTCCTGGTTAAAATTGCACCAGATTGGCTGTTAATCACAGATGCAAAACTCTCCATGAGTTTATAGCATGACAGGTTTCATTAAATCAAAGGACTTTTGCAGCTTATATTAGCAGAAACATTGAAGATTTGAACTGACAGTGACATGGAGAATGGCTTAATTTAGAATAAGCTTGAAAGGGAACAACTACATATTGTGATGAAAATTAATCAAGGGAATATCAAGTCAACACTTTAATATGAACTTAATTGCATCTGGCAGAATTCATGATCTGGTGGCCTTAGCTGTTGCAACCTAACACATCCTTTGCCACATCTTCAGTGCCTAGCTGGTGTATCTCAAGCTTCTGCAACTTGGTTGTGAATGCCTTCTGCCTGAAAACCCTGGCTCTCTTTGGAATCAGATCCAGTTTTCCTCAAACAGGGCTCACATTCCACTTCTGATGCTACCCAGCAAATCCTGCTGATGCTTTCATTCCACATTCTAAAAGAGAGAAGCAGAGATTATGGCATATTGAAAAAGTTGCTGGCTTGACTGCAGATTCCCAAATCTCAGTGGCCATGCTGGCTAGGAGAGCGTGGTAGCTGTAGTCCAGAAAGTAAATTTGCTACTGCACAAAAGAAATGTTTGCCCTCTCATTATTTAGAAATTCCTCTCTTGTATTCCAGAGCTTGTATTTCCAAATGAAACATATTGTTTCCACCTGATGCTTTGTAGCAAGGATGCTACAAAAATCTCTTTTTCTTTTCCCCACATTAATTTATTTTTTAATCACAGATTGCTTTGGGTTTTGTTTCAATTGAAAACAGCCCATACAAAATTCTCCAAGCCAAATACAATAATTAACACAAAGAGTTTCCAATAGGAGGGACATTTTTTCATCTGGCTCTCCTACTGTTGTCAAAGATGAGGAATGTGCCCTAACCGACCATCACATGGTTGGGCTACTTTGTCCCTTATGCTTTGTCCCAAATTTGACTTGTAGAAATTTAAAAAGCACAAAAACATGTCTTCCCCTCCAACTCAGTTTATGAGGAAACATTTGGGAAAGTTCCTATTTTGAAAATGAAACAAACATTGGGGGGGATACTCCCCTGCCCCTTCTTGCTCATTCTTTCTTTCTGCAAACTTTGTTGTATTTGCTGTGCCTTTGGAAAGACAGGAAATGGTGAAGAAAGGTGTAACTGCTCTACTGCAGTTTCTCTGCCCACCCCATCCCCCCAGTGCTTTTCAAGCATTGCTATTCAGTGCTCAATCCTCCTTTCTCTGTTTTCTTGGTTTTTGAAGCAGGAATCTGTGAGAAATCCAGATAATTTGACTGAGTGAGGAAGCTGTGGCAGAGGCTCGAGGCTCCATTTCTCTGGTTTCTGTGATGGCAGTCTTTCTGCCTTTATTTTTTTAAAGAGTTGCAAAGAAGGAGAGAAAGTTATCATACATACCTTGTCTTTTCACTCTGCAGAAACGATAGGCCCATTGAACTGTTCATCGATCCATCTGAGGTGAATCCGCTTAGGGCCAAATAATTCCAGGATACCTGCTCATGCATTTCTGCTGATGGCAACTCAGAATGAGACCACTTCCTCCAGGATTTAACACAGGTGTGTTGAAAAATGTCATTATTGATTTTTCATTAATGTTTGACAAGTAGAGTTGGAGGCAGAAATACAACGGCAGCTACCTTTGATATAAAAAATATAAAATAAATGTCCTGATGTAAATCTCTTTAGTTTACTAAGTTAAAGCCCAGTCTTACACAGTGACATTACAGAGTAAGTCCCATTGGATTCAGTGTGGCTTACATATGTGAAAACATACATAAGGCTTCAGCCATGGACTTTAGGAGATTCATATCAGAGCAAACGATTTTTAGATAGCGGCTGCAGCAGTTTTTAGTAAATTAAAAATTTCCTGGTTGTTGTGGGTTTTTCGGGCTCTTTGGCCGTGTTCTGAAGGTTGTTCTTCCTAATGTTTCACTAGTCTCTGTGGCTGGCATCTTCAGAGGACAGGAGTCAGAACACAGCACAGACAGAGTGAAAGCCTTTGTGAATACATTAAAAAATTTTTGATTGCCTTTCTAAGGCTCCTTTGTCATGGGAAGCTGTCGGAAAATTTTTATTTTTAAAAAAACAATGTGGCCAATAACATAATTAGCTTTACTCAGTATATTATTGAACAGCAGGATTTCAGCCAATGATCACAGAGAAAAATAGCATTCCTAAAATTATTATTTTGTAACATAACACATGCGTACCTTCTGCACCTGAGTAGGACACGTTTGTCTTTCAACATGTCACTTTTGGAGGAAGGAAGTGGGAAAAGCCAGCCATCTCTATTTGGGTTGGCAATGCAGGATTTCAGAACAACTAGGCCTATTTTGAATCCAAATATACCCAATTCCACTCCAGCATTGTCCTCTGCTTATATCTTCCCTTTCTCACATCCCCAAACCTACTGAGTTGTGAGAAGATAGGAAGTAAAGAGGGAAAAGAACATCTAAAAGGCTGCTTCTAGCTTTTCTGCTGTTTTAAGCTCTTTCCGCCAATGTGAACCACGCTTGGTGTAGCTTTTGCTTCTTTTATTCCTCATCTTCCAGGGAGGTAAATTCTACTTATTTTGTTCTTCCAGGGGATGAAGAAGAATTCTGTATGCTTTCTGTATGGCATGAACAGTGTGGGTGAAGTCATTTGAGTGTGCTGAACAGATAGCTGGAATTGTAGGGCATGCCATTACGTTTTGGCCATTATTCATCTGCTATTTGCATTTCTTGTCACGCCCCTTCACAAATCTTCATTTAAGATAGTCTGGGAAAGAGACTAGAATATAGTAAATAAGAGGGCAGTTCTTCGTGGGCTAGAGAATTTAAGTTACTGAACATTGCAAACCTTTTAAAGTATTTTTTAAATGATAAACACTAGATATTGTCAAACCTCTTTTAGCCATTTTCTATATTAATTATTGCCTCTTCACTTTGTTTTATTATTATTACCCTGTTTTTAAATGAGCTGTTCTGATGCTTTTACTGGCAAATTTATTCTTCGCTGTTAGGTGTAGCAAACCTCAGTTTAGATGATCATTAAACTGAGTTCTAGCAGAATGAAAATGATGTTCCATTAAATTTACCCTGAACTATAGCATGCATTTTGCATACAGGATATTTGCAATTGTAGCTTGTTTGTGTTTTATCTATTGCCTCATTCACAGAGGAACAGAGGCTTTGATCAAATGTACTAATATGGACAATACATAACAACACATCATTTGTTTGTTTTTCTTTCCTTTTTAGTAATATTAATAAGTATTAATGTAATGATGCTTGCTAAAATTTGAAGTATTATTGGTATAGTCGCAATTCAGCATTGTCCACAACTAATGTTTACTGGCAATGGTGCGGCTAAAAAATATACAATTCAGCATTGTCCACAACTAATGTCTAATATCTAAATTATGATTTGGGGGAATAATTTTAATTTGTTGTTCAATAACTCCCTTAAGCTGCGAAAGCTTAAACTTTCTGGACTCATAAAGTAATGGGGTTGTAATCTCTCTTGCTTTATATCATTCTCTTTATTTAATGTAAAGGGAAGGGACAATCGTAGTGGAAATAAATATACATATAGGAAACTTTGTATCACTTCTGCCATATACAAATTCTACCCTCCATGGCATCCTATCAGTTTACTCCAGTTATCCATATATATAGTAAATTGAAGAATAATAACCAAGTTGAAACTCAAACAAAAGTGCCACTGCAGCACCATAACCCCTAGCATGTTTTATTCTTGGGGCATGAATGTTAGTAGAGTTCAATGGCACATCTGATAAACATGGATGTGGAATAAGGTAAAGGTTCCCTTTGACATTTAGTCCAGTTGTGTCCGCTTCTAAGGGACGGTGCTCATCCAAGCCTTAGAACCAGCATTTGTCCATACAGTTTACGTGGTCACGTGGCCAGTGCAACTAGACACAGAACGCTGTTACTTTCCCATCATGATGGTACCTATTTATCTACTCGCATTTTTACATGCTTTTGAACTGTTAGGTTGGCAGGAGCTGGGACAAGCGACAGGGGCTCACTCCGTCACATGGATTCAATCTTATTGCCGGTCTTCTGACCTTGCAGCACAGAGGCTTCTGCAGTTTAACCCACAACACCACCACGTCCCTTTGGAATTGGAATACCAAGCTTATAATATAATGCATTTGCCAAACGTTATGTTGTAGTAGATTCTGTGTGACTTTATTTTTGCAATTAGGAATGTTAGCATCTACCTAGTTTTATAATGGCAGATGAGAAATGTTTCTTGTTCAGCCTTGTGTGTGTGTTTTAAATGACCAACCCATCTTATATGTCTATCTTTTTCTAGTGATTAACTGGACATTTTACAGATTTCTTTTAAAATTTTGCTTGACTTTCCAGCAATGTCACTAAATGGGAAGATCTTTGGTGTGAAGATGCACATAGCAGAAGTCATCTAAAAAGAAATGTGTATTTCTCATGGTGTACACACACAATGCCATTCAACATTACTACAAGGTAAGGGATTCATTTTTATTCAGTCACAGAAAGATGAAAATATGTTCCTTTGAAAGGTATAATTATGAAGAATAGGTGAGTGTTATCAGTATGTTTATGCCCCACAGAAAGGATTACGAATCACAAAAGGTCCACACTTTAAAGATAAATTATCTTAAGTAAAGAAAATGCTGTTTATTTTGCTGTAAATATGTCAGTAAATGCCTGTTTTTCCATCTGTCTTTTCTAGCTTCTTTGCTATGAGGTAGACAGTAGCTGTTGATACAAGTAGGAGCATGTGACTATTATATACCTCAATTAACTCCAAATTATTTGTTTTACAAGCTTTAAACTGATTTTCAACCTGCCCACTTGGGTGTATCCAAATACTCTGAAGTATCTATATGTATTATATATGAAATACGTATGTCCTGTGAAAAAACACAAAAATTAGAAAAATAAAGGGATGAGAATCTCTATAAAGGATCTGGGATTAGCAGTAAAACTCAGTACCATGAAGTATTGCTTGTCCTCCAGTGTACAGGCAGAGCTCCTGTCCTTCCCACCTACCCACACTCCCTCCCTCCCTCACCCTTCTGGCTGGGAGCCATGCAGTTTAGGTAGCTATTAGGTCTTGTTCCTAATACTACTGTGACGTATCCCATCGAATTCTGCACAGTATCACACATCACACATAGATGCTGAGTTAATCAGACTGAGATCTGTAATCTCAAAAGAAAAGTCCTCTGATTCTCTCTACTTCCTGCGTGACCTATCCCATCGAATTCTGCGCAGTGTCACACACATCACACATAGATGCTGAGTGAATCAGACTGAGATCTGTAATCTCAAAGGAAAAGTCCTCTGATTCTCTCTACTTCCTGAAAATAAAACCAAAGCAAATCTCTCTCTGTTCTGAACATGCGGCCATTGTAAAATGGCTGCTGATCACATGGGGAGCAGGATTCCCTTCTGGGGCTCTATGACTGCGATTACGAGAATTTAGGATTTTTCAGACTTGAGCTGTTCCTTTGCTTTGACTTTCTGGTTCTGCTAAAGTATTACTTTTGTATTCTGAGGTTAGCATTTTTAAAAGGTTTCTCAGCATTTTAAAACTCAGAAGTTCCAAAGCAAATATTTGGTACTTTGAAAAGGCATGCTTTAATTCAAGTCCACTTCGGGCTCCCTCACTTCACTTCAGATGGTTTCAGAAATAAACAAATACTCCTGCTTCACTTTGGAATAAAAATAAATTCAAAATTGAAATACATTCCTGGTTTGAAGAAATTAAGCTGATTTTAGTGTTAGAAGTGGCTAGATCTGATTTTGTTCTTCCTGTGTCCAGAGGTTTTAGTTGTTACCCCAGAAGTAACTTTTCACATCTCTGTTCTCCAAGGATGGGAACTTGAGTTGCACAACTCACGGTTGAGTTGGACATAAATCGCACTGGTGACTCAACTTTGACTTGATTCGGTGTGTGTGGGGGTGTTCAATGACTCAACTCATGACTTCAACCCATTTTTCTGAGTCACCTTTTGAAGTACCTATTCTTTTAATGAAAGACACCATAAACCCAGAAGAAAGTTTGCGATATTCACCAGAAGGTGCAGGAGAGGCAGACAGGTGGAGGCAGACAGGTGGAGGCAAATGGTGGTGGTGGAGGAGATAGCAAGTGAAATGGAGGGTTTTCAAGAGGGTGGGGGTGGAGGAGTGAGGGAAGGCGAGACAGGCACAGCAGATCGGACCAAAAGTGGGTGGTTCACAAGCCTCAGAGCTCCTCATACACACCCCAACACAGAACCCACTCACCCCTCCCTTTTTTTGAGGAAGGGAAGCTTGTTTTTAATGGGCACTTGGACTCAGGATTTAGTACCAAAGACCTGGACTCATCCTCGGGACTTGGATTCAAAGACTTGCCAGCATCCCTACTGCTCTCACTCTGTGGCCTCAGGATAGAATAACAGGAAATATGCAGAATAGTGAGGACTGGACACTTCTCATTCTGCCTTGCCCATGTATTGGATGACATGTTTCAAAATCGCATTGAGAAGAAGGGCTAAATGGGCAGAGTAGTAGAATTTATAGGTGCTGAGGGATAAGCTGGGCAGTAATTCAGAGCTGGAGAAATTAACTACAGCTATGGGAGTTTTCACCTTCTATGGCCAGTGGCTGCCTGGAGGATTGTAGGATGTGTAGTTCTTAAAGGTTATTTTCCTGAGCTCTGGAGATTCTTGGCAATTGCACAGGGCAATGAAAGTTTTTTTTCTGCCAATGCTGATGGTCCAAAACTCAGTCTATGCATTCTGTCAATGAATATTAACATCATCATGTTAAGATTACTAGCTGATGATTTATCATAACTCACCATTGGTCGTTGCTTCACACTACCTTATTTTGTGATAATAATGAGTCATCCTCTCTTCTTCAGATGATTAAATATACCAGCAAGATTAGTATGGATAATACTGTAACATGAGTCAATGTACAAAGGTATATAGATGATCCCAGGTGGAGACTAACCTCTGGGTAGAGTGGGCGGCATATAAATTAAATAAATAAAAATAAAAATAATAAATAACCTTTGCTTTCCCCTATAATCAAGACTCGGCCAGCCATTAGGAGTGAGGCAGGCAATGCTGGTTACTTCCATGCTCTGTTTGTAACACAATGCTCAATTGCTATGATTGAACTTTTAGTCAGTTGTGTATGATCTATGGATCAGATGTAATCCCTCCTATTCAAACAGTAACCTTGGGAATCCCATTTTCTAATTGATGCGCACAAGCTCTTCCAATACTATTCTTCCCTGTATTGGTTTATGCCCAGATTTTCAGGTCCTTTTGAAAGCTGATTCAGGTGATATTTCAAAGTTTTAAACTGTATTCAGGAAGCACTTTGTTCTTTTAAAAAATATTTTTGAATCTTTCTTTGGGCAGACTCAGAGAGCCACCAGAGCACATGTGGACTCAGAAGGAGCTTGCATTAGGCTTGGCTGCCAGAAATGGAGGTTGCTGAGAGGAAGTCTTGGGGAAAGAAACAAGCAGTTTGTTTATACCTATTAGCTGGATTTTCAGCTAATACTGACGGGAATTGTGATTTTAATGAAATGAATGACCTATGGCAATATATTTTCCAGAATCAACAGCCAAGGTACAAAATACGGACAAATTATCTGGAACAAGATATGGATGATACTCTGTTTCAAACTGGGTAGAGATTCTGGTTGAACAAAATGGGAAGGTTTGGTTTACTCAGTAAAAAAAACAGTCCTTTCAGACTTTCCAACTACCTAAGGGAATATTAACACAGATACAGTACAAACTTCAGCTGGTACAATTATTGGAAATAATTGCACCTGGATAAGTTACCATGGGTCCATACTTGGGTTCTGTAGAACATTTGAGGAAGCAATTTAGCTTTATACAATTGTATTAAATTGTATTTTCTTCCTGGTCCAGAAGAGAAGGAATAAACATAATTGGTGGATACCTCAGCTAACAGAACTACAGGTTCTGAGATCATGTTCTTCAACTTTTAAATGTCACTCCATGGTATTTATACGACATGGTCTCTTCAAGCAATTTCCTGTTCAGCTGCCATATATATTTCTTCCTCTTTTTCGCCAAAAGCTAAAGTTTGGTTTTGATATCATTTACCTGGAGCTGTTCCTTGGCACAATAGGCTCTTAAGACGCTTAATAATCTTTGCATACCCACCTGAGTGAGGGCCAGGAGGACAGTGTCATCTGCGCATAAAAGTACTGAAACATCCCTGTTCTTTAGACAGGATGGAAAAAACGTGAAGCTGGATACGGAGGAGCCTGTATCATTTAAGTATAAATTAAATAGAAGGGATGCTAATAAACATCCTTGACACAGTCCCTTATTTACAGGGAGTGAGCCTGAAAGAGGGTGACTCTTGCTGCAAATTCCTCTGGAGGACAGGGGTGGCCCTGGGGTAGCCTAGCCTGTTGCATAGCAAATTTGTTGAAGGGGGAAAGCAAGTAAAGTAGTAATTTACAACCCTGAGCTATGGCAATATTTCTAAAGTTAAATCCTTCTTTTTGTGTTATGGTAAATATGTATATTCCACCGTGGAATTCTAACTGTTATCGAGATAATGTTTGAGAGCATCTCTCAGATTACTTACTCAATTTAAAGAACCAATTCCCTGAAGCACATTAGATGCTATTGAAACAGAATAAACACATTCTCTTGAAAGTAACATCTTACTGCAGCCCGAAGGTGCACCAATGTACTCTGTACTGATCTAGCTATCTCCACATAGGAATGGAAACTACACTATCAGTCCTTGTTTTTTGATGAGAAGGACTGTACATCTTTGGAAGTGGACAACCAAGCACTTCCTTACTGGGCGTCACGACCTGTGAGGTAGTAATACTGCTTAAAAAAGAGAAAAACACCCAGAAAACAGGCAGAGTCCCAGGCTCTCTGCCTTGTTTACTTCTAAAATTTGGGAAATTAGCCTCAGAATGGGCTGAAGCTATTACCTATCTACACGAAAATAGTTTGGTCAGATCCTAGGGATTATCACCCTATAAGTCTCCTCAATGTAGTCAGCAAATTGTATGCAAGACATCTTTTGGACACACTAAAAAACAGAGTGTCCTCAGAAAACCTCTTGGCAGAGGAACAAGCAGGATTCCATTCTGTATAATTAATGCTGCTTTCTATTGCAATCTTTAGTGTGGAAATATATATCACTCCGCTACATTCACTTTTTGTGGCTTGTATAGACTTTAGAGCAGCCTTTGACTTCATATCACAAACCTACCTTTGGAGGAAATTAGAATCCTTGAATTTAGATTGTAGGATTCTTAACAGGAACAATGTGCATCAGACCATCACACTTCTATAGCATTTCCACATTCTTTGGCGGTGTAGTCATAGCCTCAGTAGCAATCCATGGTCATTAACAGAGCTTTTTTTTGGGGGGGGGAGATTACAAATCCCAGAGTTCCATGGCCATGTTGGCTGAGGATTATGGGAATTTATGATCAA